CTAAATGTCCATCAACAGATGACTGGATAAAGAAGTTGCAGTATATTACTACTCAGCCATAAAAACAAATAAAATAATGCCAATTGCAGCAACATAGACGGCCCTGGAGAATGTCATTCTAAGTGAAGTAAGCCAGAAAGAGAAAGAAAAATACCATATGATATCACTCATATGTGGAATCTAAGAAAAAAAAAGACAATTGAACTTATGTATAAAACAGAAACAGACTCACAGACATAGAAAACAAACTTACGGTTACCAGGAGGGAAGGGAGTGGGAAGGGATAAATTGGGAGTTCGAGATTTACAGATACGGACTGGTATATATTAAATAGATAAACAAGTTTATACTGTATAGCACAGAGAACTATATTTGATATCTTGGAGTAGCTTACGGTGAAAAAGAATATGAAAACAAATATATGTATATTCATGTACAGCTGAAACGTTGTGCTGTACCCCAGAAATTGACACAACATTGTGAACTGACTATACTTCAATAAAAAAAAGTATATGTAAATAAATAAACCTAATTACCTCCTCCTCTCTCCAAAATAAATAAATAAATAAGTAAATAACCTCCAGAGCCAATATAACAGCATCCTGCTGTGCGCCTGGTTCCCTGGGCAGCACTGTGGGAAAGAATTGGGACCTCAGAACTGAACAGACCGCAGTTCAAGTCTCAGCTTTACCATATATGTGCTGATGTAACCTCGGGGTGATTGCTTAAGCCTGCTGAGTTAACACCTCGTTTGTAAAATGGTGATAATAATTCTTGCATCCTAGGCTTGGTGAGAGGGTTAAATGAGATAGTATGGTATCTGGCACTTAACAAGAGCTGTATAAATGGGACCTTTTATTATTCATTCTTTGAACAAGTACTTGTTGGAGGTCTAATGTTTACCATACAGTCTCCTGTGTCCCTCCCTCAGCATCTCTGCTGGATCCAGACGTGGTTTCTGCTTCCAAGGAGTTCTCTTTGTTGCAGGATTGCAATCATTTAGCAAGCTGGCTTGAGAGACGGCAATAACTCTAGAAGAACTGGTGAAATGTTTGAGGGTTCATCTTCCCCATGGCCTGGGCCTTCTGGAGACCTCACTTCCCAACCTCACTTGTTTTCCCTGAGCGGGGATCTGGGCTCCAAAGAGATCCCTCCTGCTTCATGAAACCCTCCCAAATCAAAGCAGCCCTTCTTCTGCCTTCAGGGCCTGGTTCTCAGTTGCTGTTGGAAGGAGGGTAAAGGGGAAGGAGAGCAAGGAGGAGAAGGGGGAGGGGCCTCAGATTCCAGGAGCCCTGGGGCCAGCAGGGGGGTGGGGGCAGCCTTCTGCCTCAGGAGCCAGGGCAGAGCTTGGTAGCTCTTTTGCTACAGAGAAGTCAGGAGGCTATTTCTGCTGCTGAATCTCATGGGTGGGGGTCACAGAGGCTCAGTCATCATCCAGGTGGGACTGGAAGGGCAGTGAGGTGGGGGATGTTCTAACTTTGAGCATGGATCTTTCTTTCATTTATTCACTCAGCTACTCACCAACAAATATTTATGGAGCACTTCCTATTTTCCAGGTACTGTGTGAGGAAACAAAATGTGGCAAGTGTGATGGATGAACTTGGGGCACAGGCTTCAGAACCAGACATACCTACCGTTGAACCCAGCCTCTTCCCAGTGGGGGACATGGGGAAGAACTGATGCAGTTACCACCTGTTTCCCCACAAATCATGTGTCCAGAGCAGCTGTGGGCTCCAGAGCCAGAGAAAGCCGGGGAGGGGAGGGGCTCTGCATTTGGAAAACAGAGATCAGAATGCTTATCTTTGAGGGTGCTTGCAAAGGTGGAGATAAAGGTATATGATGGGCACCTAGTAAGTGTTCCTAGTTAAGGGAACTTGAAGGTATAAAGGGATAAAGGAAGACATGCAAAGACTAGGGACCTGGAAACTAACTACTAAGAGAAATAGATAAAAGGAGGGCCTGGTGGAGAAGGATTCCAATGAGAAGGTAGGCAGTGATTCCCCATCTAGCCTCACGTCATAAAATCCTGGGGGTGCTTATTAAAAATATGCATTCAGGCCCTGGGCATTGGGAGTGGCAGGCTCAAGGGTCTGTATTTTCCTGCTTCTTAGGACCCATTGGGTGCCTGGTATTGACTGGTTTGTGATGCATCACATGCCAACACTCCACTACAGCCCCAGAGGGGAACACGGGGTAGAACTGATGTAATGACAACATATGTCAATGCAAAATGATCTGTCCAGTGCAGCTGTGGGCTCCCTAAGCAAGAGAGGGCCGGCGGGAGAGGAGATGGCAGGGATGGAGGAAGGGAAGCTGAGTTGGGAGCTGACGGAGCTCAGGGAATGAGAACCTGGTAAACCCAGCCATCTCACTGGGATTCTAGATCATTTGAGAACTTGCAACAGCATGGTTTGAAACCAGCTGTCTTATGCCTCCATCAGCTTCTATAACAGGTGAAAAAAATGGCTGCTCACATCAAGGGGCAGGAGGAGCTAGACAGGGGACCAGCTCCAAGCAGCTGGCAGTTGCTAGAGCAGTCTGAGAGCCCCTTGGCTTCCCCTCTGAGCAGATGCTTCTTCTGCCCGGAAGGGGCCTAGGGACTGGGTGGGTGGGGACCCACACAAAGGGCTGGGAGTATCCTCTGCTTCAAGGTTACCGCATTCCCTTGCAGGCCGCCTTCCAGGGTGTGGCCGCTGTAAGAGTGGGCCCACAAGCGCCCCAGAATTCACAGAGAAGGGAAGGCGTGAAATACCTGAAGGAATGAGAAGACAGCCATTGCAGCTCTTTCTCCAACCCCCGGTGGTTTAGAATGAAACCAGTAGGTCTCCTTTGATCAGTCAGAACTTTGCCTCCTTATGCTTCTGGTCGTCATGCTCAGGTTCAGGGTTTTTACGAGTGTCAGGACCCATATCCTACTGGGAGCTCCTGTTGCCAGCTCCCTTCTGTGAAGGAGGATTAGTTCAGATGACAAAGCCTGCCTTCCCTCTCAAAGTCCTGTGCACGACCCAGGACCTGCTAGGGCGTCGCAGGCTTTCTCTCAGCGCCATCTGGTGGTGGGCATGGCATGTTTTCCTAAAGGGCCCGGTGCCCCTCATTCCTACGCCCAGCCACACCTCGGACCGGATCCGTTTTCCTCTGATCTGACCACTGCAGGCTTTGGTCATTTTGAAAAGTGGTAATTAATGAGGCTTTAAGCTTTGCCTAAAGTGGAGACTTTAAACTCTGTGTCTTTTGTCCCTGTTCAACTCTACATAGTTTCAGGGAAGGGAATTGGAGAATTTAGTGGAGAGTTAAAAGACTAAGATGAAGTAAGGAAAGATGGAAAGAACATTCTCCCCCACCCAGCTGTGAATGCTTGGCTCCAGCAGTGCACAGACCATCACCTTGGCACTTATCCCAGGCACCTCTCACCCAGCCGTACCATCAGAGCAGGGCACAGGAAGAATCTCTTCTGCACAAAGTCCAGGTCGAGGATTAAGAATCATCAGAGAAAGTGATGGGACATGGATCTGGAACCAGACTGCTCCACTCCGAGCGCTGAGGGAACCCATGTTCTGGGAGCTCTCCTCATGCAGAAGCGAGCTTTGGAGTTTTCTGAGAGGTTGTATGGACAGTCCACCTTTCCAGAAAGGAGTATCCACATTTCCAGGTTCTGAGTTTCCTGGTCCAGGTCAGGAATAGGGAGCACTAGCCCCTTCCCTCTTACAGAGTGGGGTCCACCCAAAGGAATCAGGTAGAACCAACAGACAGGTCTTGTATGTGAGGGGAGGTCAGCGATGGAGCAGAACGCACCTATTCCTAGGATGGAAAACAAACAGACATTGCTGTGGGGGTGATACGTGACTGCTGCTCCTTCCAGACACGTGTTGTCCCACTGGCCACTGGGAAACATTCAGATGGCTTCTGGAATGGCCTGACCCTGAAAGCAGGAATTTCCCTGCAGGGCCCAGGGTGTTGTGCTTCTGTGGACCCAGGATCCCTGGAACAAAGACACTCATGGTTCTTTTGGGAAGCAAAATATTCATTCTGACTATTCAGAATGAGAAATTTCCCTGAGTATACTTGCCACTCAAGCCAGTAGAAGAGTAATATACATTATGTACACTATGTAGTAATGTATCTAAGATTGGAAACCATTTATAGAGGTGAGGATCACTAAAAATTTCCTAGGACCTTTTCCTTCACTCCAATTTCCTGTTCTCACTGACAGAGTTTTATGATTCTTGTGCCTTTCCTTGAGCTACATCATTCAATATTTTTCTCATTATGGTTGAAGTGACTGTATGGCCCCCAATATTTCCAGCAGCAGTAATAACAAATTTTAAAAAGATACAACCTAAATGCCCATCAATTGGGACCTAGTATATAAATTATTATGATTCATCTAGAAAATAAAGTACTATGCAGCCATTAAATTTATGGTGAAGAATTATTTTTATTGACATGGAAAGATATTCATTACTTAATGTCAAATGAAACAATTTCTAGAAGAGTATGTATAACAGGGTTTACTTTATGTACAACTACATAACTCTCTCTGTATATCTATGTATATAAATAGAGGTAGTTTTTTTCCCTATACATAAATGGTGATATCTTGGGCTGTAGAAATTTGGTGTAACGTTTTAGCTTCTGCTTTGTTCTTTTCTATATTATGTGAATGTTTTAAAAGGAGTATGAATCATTTTTCTAATAAAGCTATTAAAATGTTTTTAAAATATTGATCTCATCAGTAAAGTAGAAAGCTGAGATGTGGGGAAGTCAACAACTAACTCAATAAAGCCACAATCTGCCAAAGAGGCAGAATTTGCCCTCATGACCTCCCATCCTTCAAGTTTAATGCCATCTCACTGCCTCCAATTGGTGAAGATCGTGGGCAGGGATATAGCAAGTGGGGAGCTGGGGACCAATGCTGAGATCAGAGGGGACTCACATGCTTTGGATAATTCCTGGATCCTGTTACCTCTTCAGAGCAACCGAGCTCAGACCACAACGGCATTACTGGATTCCTATTATATACTGTGTCCTTGTGGTCTGGTAGCTGTCCAGGTCTTGAAGGAACAGACACAAGTCTGGGGACAGAGTTAAGTTGGGTCTAGTTCTAATCCAAGCCCATTTTACATCCTGCAAGGGAAATGACATATTCCGCCATGGTCTCCAGTTGAGGAAAGAAGGAATGTGATGCTAGTTCGGTGTAGTCCGGAGGCTTGAGTTTGTGAAGTTCTGGGCGGGGGGAGCAGCTTGGTGGGTGATTTCAAGGAGAAAGTTTGGAGCCCCTCCTCCTCCTCCCCCTTCCTTCCCTCTACCCCTTCTCACTCCTCCACACCCACCCACATTCATCCACACATCTTGACTGTAGCACCAGAGACCCTCGTGGCCCTTCCTTTGACATTCGAGAGTTTGGGGCCAACAGCCAGCTTCATTCAGCCTAGTGAACAGTAGCAGTTGGGACACGGGGTGGGACCCAAGGGACCCAGTGTCTTCTTACAACATGAATTTGGATTTAAATAGTAAAAGCTCCAGGATATGATGTAGTGTTAATCTCCCATCATGCAAATGCCCATAACAGCACTTACCAGGTCAAGACAAGGCCCCCGAGCAACCAGGCCCCTTCTCAGCCTGTGCACTCTGAACAGACCTGTAGTCCCAGGACAATGCACTCATCCTCTCTGTGGTCTTCCTTTGTGTCATCGGGAACCCCACTCTTCTTCCTTCCCTGTTCCTAGACCCCTCTGCTACCTTCCCTGGGGAGGTCACCCCTCTATACCTGGCATTACTGCTCACAGATATGAAAGAATCCACCAAAGATGGATTCCTAAGTCTGCATCTTGTTGAAGGGCATAAGAGAAAGCAAACCTTGACCTAAGCCGGGGGCAAGAAAGAGGGGCAAAGAGCCTTTTGACAGGAAGGAGTGTGTCAATTTGCAAATACTAGTCAATTTTGAGCCAGTGCCTGAGAGTTTACTTTAAAAATCAAGTGTGGTCGAGATAAAGCCTAGCATGGCAACTGCTCCATCTGAGAACACAAATTATCACAGACCTTCCACGGCACAGGAGGTACAAAACTGCAGTCATGAGGAGCAGGGGTAATCCTTTGTCAGAGACTGTTGGGTATTGTTCCCATACCCACATGTGTAGGTCACAGTCTTGTTACCTCCATGACCCTAATCCTTAGCACAGTGGATGGTACATTAATGATTGTTGAATTGAATAATAACTTCCTTGAAGTCAGGAGTCCAGTCCTCACAACAGCACAGTAGTAGGGGAGAGAAGACATTTAAATACATAACATTAATTAGCTAGCACTGAGACTCCTAGGACACCTCAACTAAACTAAATCCCCAGACAAGATGGAGTCCCTGAGATCACTGACCTCTCAGACATACGCAGCTTTTCCTGAAGGGGGCAGAGTTCTCCTAGAAGAGCCAGGACAAAGGGTAAAGAACTGAAACAGATTTTAGCCGATCCTTGGTGATACAATCTGGACACTCACCCTACCCAACCCAAGCCCACTCCCACCCCTAAGCTGGGCTGCCTCTCCGCCAGCTCCTACGGGAGAAACCTTTTGACTCAGATCTACAAAAAGATAGATTTTTCCCACTCTAACCCATCCCAGGACCTAGTGGGGCCAGGAATTGGGTCTTGGATGAGATGTTATGATCAAAATTCTTGACCAATTAATGTCGCCAAGTCCCAAGATATCCTTCTGCAATCACCGTGTCTGGCTGAAATTTCTCTTTGAACTGATATATGAACTTGGGACAGGCACACAGCGTCCCCCCAGCCAATGGCTTACTTAGATAGCAGCATAAAAGCTTTTCGTTGCAAAGCCTTCTCATACCCAGGCTCGCCTTAACAATACTCCTTTGTCCCTCCTCAGACGACTAAGCTCCTTGTATCCTGGCAAAGGGAGGCACAGAGGGGAGGTGACCAGCTTGGAGTTTGGTTTCTAATCTCCAGGGCAGAAATTCTTTCAAATTTGCCCAGCACCTGGGCTGACTGCTGAGTCGGAAATGAGCAGCTGGGGATGGGGATGGTTCGCCTCATGATTCCCGAGTTTTATAATCAACTCTATCCCCTCCACAACCCCAAATTTACAGCCTTCACGGTTAAACTCACATGTACAACTATGAACCTGTGTAGTTTCAATGTCTGTTCAAATTTTCACTTTGACTTCTTTTAGCCTTGACCTCCCCACTGCCCCTTAATTTACTGCTAGTCTCATGAACCTGCATGCATCTCATTTTCCAGGCTGTCTTCGTGCACAAACATTAATGTCTTAATGCTTTATGGATGAATTCACATTATCACAGAATGGTGAGTTCCTCATTTTCAGGCTCAAGGTGTTCATGAATACTGCATAGTTCTTACCCACTGCGTTTTCTTTCTGATGACTAAAAAAAGGAGAGAGGACACGACTCTTAAATATCCCCAAAGTAGGAACATATATTATTTTGAGAGCTCTGTGAAGGTACGTATGGATAGCAAATCTTCTGATAAACCTGCAGTCAACTTGACCATTTCCCTGGGGCCTGATGCCTCTTCTCTCTCTGCTGGTACCCCTTTCTACCCCTCCGAGGTACTTCATAAACAGTTGAGGGCATCCTCAGTAACCTTTTGCACCTGCTTCCCTTATCACAGATCATCCATTCCTGAGCACAGCTCATAGCAGTGCGAAGTCCCTAAAAAGTTTGCCTGTCTCCAGTTCTATGCCCACCCCAACACTAGCAGTGATTTTTATACAGCAATCTATGTTTTCCTGTCCCGGTACTTTTCAGAGCTTCCTGCTACTTTCTGGAAGCTTCTGTGATTCTCCTTTCACCTCCTCTTATAGCCAAGAACCTTAGGGGGCTCTGAGTCAGGTGTTCATTCTCTGTGCTGCTCGCCTCCCTGGTGCCATGGACACTCACTTTTCAGGGGCCGCCTAGGAGCCTTTCTCTTCCTTTGGGTAACAGCATTTTGATTTCTCTGTCACTGCTTTCTTCTCAGTTGTGGAGTTTACATCAGGGTATCCTGCTGGCTCTTCCCTGGCCAAGAGGTGGATGCATAATCAATTTAGGCAAATTTGACTCTCACACTTAAGCAGAAGTGATAAGATTGAAGTCCCATTGTTCTGGCAGCAGAACCCTAAGGAGACTCTCAGTTACTTCCCATTTCCTGGTCTCCCAAAGCCATCCTGGTCCCAGCCTTTTCAAGTCTGTTTTGCCAGCATCCCCTCCAAATCCGTGAGCCACCTGATCATACCCTGTCAATACTGTCCTTTTACACTTAAGATAGTAAAGTTGGTTTCTGTTGCTTGCAGCCAAAGAATCCTAAATGATGCAGGTTCATAGTCCTTAAACTCTTTATGCCTCTTTTCTTCCTATTTCCAGAAAAGGATGGTACAAAGAGACTCCCCATTTTCAAACTCCAGCAGATAACCTTGATCTCCTTTCTTACAGCCAATACCACGTTCGTATTTTCTGGAAGACAAGAACTTTTCTGCCCTCCTACTAAGCACACCATCCATAAAGTGGTAGATCTTGTCCACCATAAGTAGCTTTCATGCTGACTTTCAAAGGGAACAGAGGGATTTCTGTATACTTGTCAGGGAGGACTGGTTCCATGAGGGTTCCCCCAGTTCTTTCTCACCCATCTTATTTTCCTCTAAAGCTGGTCCAAATAATTCCAAACTCAAGATTGCCTTTGACTTCAATGCTTCCTCTGCCCCTCACCTCACTTCTCTCTTTCTTATCCCAGCATCTGTGACAGACTGTACATAATTCTTTGTTGGCTTCCAATTTCCATGCTCCAGCTCCCTCTCAGGTCCTTCCTGCTCTGGCTGCTGGCCCAGTCCCTCCACCGAAATCACCCTCTTGAGCAACATCTCTCCTGACTTGTGGTCAGAGGGCAGCCCCCAGGGAACCGATCCTCTCTACCGATTATAAGGCAGTCTTTCTGGTTCCCCTTGAAAGTCATTGAGAAAATTACTTATGGTGGACAAGAGCTACTGCTTTATGGATGGTTT